TACTAGGTTAGTTTGTGGTCACCGACTAGAGAAGTTCCTAGCATATCATCTTTATAATTAAAGAGGAAGTCAAGCCAAATAACACAATGACCCCCAAGAATAAGCTCCACAAATGTAAAAGAATGCAATTTACATTTTTTTTATATCACTATTCATTCTCTAGATATTCAACTTTTCATCAGTATTATGTAGTCAGCCATCTTGATTCGCAAGCAAAGGATTATCGGCAAAGTAGGACATCATAGAATCTGTTGTCAGAATCTGAGAAAATGATTTCATCTATAACAGAAGAAATATTGATGCGAATTAGTTCAAAGTTTCGTTGTGCATATTACTCATGTATATGATTATAGTAATGTAAATTAAAATGTTACAAATACACATAAAGTTAAGATACTGCCTAAAATGTTAAAGAAATAAAATTCGTTATTTTCATCGTGAAATATAGAATGACACTTTTTTTGTCTCCTTTTAGTGGTCAACAGGTAATATATCACCTACATAACCTACTCACATCGGTAAATTGTATACAATATAAAGAAATTTGAGCATTTGGTAGAAAAACATAAAAAATAGTTTCAGTTCTATTTTCATGACAACTATTTTATAAGCATGTTTGGCACTAGTACATGTATGCTACCAAACTTTCAGTCAATTTGAAGTTCAACTTTTGAAGTTATAGATGAAATAATTTTCTATATTTCTGACAACAGACTCTATGATGTCATACTTTACCAATTATCCTTAGCTGAAGAATCAAGATGGCGGTCTACATAAATTGATGAAAAGTTGAATATCTATAGAATGAGAAGTGATATAAAAAACTGTAAATTGCATGTTCTTACATTTGCCGAGCTCTTTCATCGGGTAGTATTATGTTGTTAGCATTGACTTCCCATTTAAGCATATTTTAATACATATTTTTAATTTTTTTTAGAAATTTGCTTTACAAGACTATATTAATAAACAATCGTTGAAAACACATGTCTATTTTTTTTCATTTATTTATCATGAATTGTATAACACTAAACCTTAAAGCGGGGAAGTCGTCACCTGCGCATGCGTCATACGGCCATGGCGGTGCGAACATTAGGCCACACTGATTTAATTTTATGGATGACATCCTCTGGAGACCCCAAAACTAATGCGAGAGGGCGAAAAAAAAATCCTGCTAAAACCACAGGACTGCGGAGCTGCTATTACGAATTGAACCACAGAACACAATGTATCAAAAAACAACAAGAAGTCTTTATTTGTAGGAGGCACATGTTAATATACACATCTAGTACTGTATTACTGTCACAGGTATAACCATTTCAGACAAGCTCTAGTACATGTAGTCATGGTGAAGTACCTTCAGTCAAAAACACTGCATTCAAGGTACAACATGAACATCATTTTCAGTACAAGTCAAGGCGGAATGTACATATCACTACTTTATGACAATAACTAACAAAACATTGCAATGATACAGAAATGTCCTTGCTTGCTCTTCTCTACGCAGTAGGGGTTAGCTTTAACCAATCTCTCGTATAGCTGTGTAAACGCCACATCTCCCTGGCCGACGTCAATTGCGTACCAGTCTACAACAATCCCTCAGTTTTTCCTCTGAACTGTTATGCTCACGTATTCCCGGCAACGCAATACGCATTTGCAGAAGATCATTTACGACAAAATTGGCACGTTTTTAGATAGTCCAAAAAGAGCTTTGCGACAATATGAGTCGGCAAGTTCCGGACAGAAAACCGATCTGTTGAGACTCGTCGTCGGAGATTTTTTTTTTTTTTTTTTTTTTTTTGAAAACAGGCAAAAACTAATGCGCGCGTGGATGTCATCCATAAAATTACGTCGGTGTGGCCTTACCACAAATTTGGTGTTTGCTTCTTCCGCAAACCCTACCCTACTTGACGTGTGCCTACATCTCAGGTGCGAACATTACCATCAATTTGATGTTTGCGTCTTCCATAAATCCTATACGACCTAATCCTGATGCTAAAACATGCGCGCCTACATCCCAGGTGCAAACATTACCACACATTTGGTGTTTGCCTCTTCCGTAACCGCTACCTGACCTAACCCTAACCTAACCCTAATTCTAAGACAGGTGCAAACATTACCACCAATTTGGTGTTTGCCTCTTCCCTAACCCCTACCGGACCTAACCCTAATTCTAAGACACGTGTACCTACATCTCACGTCGTGCGAACATTGCCACCAATTTGGTGTTTGTGTCTTCTGTAAACCCTAGCACAATATTTCAATGGTTACTGTTTCCTTCTGCGCTGATTCACAGAACCACAGAATTCCTAAAAATGGAATGATGTGAAATAATTTAACAATTGTCTCGACAAATATTATCGTTATTTTCATTATATTATTACGTGATTCTGTAACGTAAGTATAATGCAATTTTCTCTGACTTCAGGTATCAGCATTCCAAATGTGTGCGCCAACATATCGCCAGTCGAACCCTTGACCTATCAAGCATCTTGTTCAAGAAGTAAAAATTAAAATCCCGACCCAAAATCCATGTCAATCGTAATTAGCGTATTCAAATAACGCTACTAAAATTAAAACACAATCACAAGAAATACAATATCATTCATAACAGAATACAATTTACAAATTTAGTTCAAACATTTAGGTCCGTCATTGTCGAAGAAATATTTTATAAGGCAATCTGAGTCACTGCGCTAGTTTTAAAGCGTCACCTGCGCACGAGCGAGAATTGAGTCCCAAGCGATGATAACAACACACGCTAAAACGCAAAGGCTTATGGGTATACGCTTGTTTGTAAACAATGACACGTCATGGCCATCTGACGCATGCGCACGCACATCCCCACTTTAAAAAAAAATGTTCAACACACAAACACAGGTAGCAACAATTCACACACAAAAATTATGTTTGCACTCCATATCATTTTTTTTATAACTTACAGCAATTACAAGTATATTTGCATAGCAGTATTATTTAAGGCATAACGACCCCCGGAAGAAAACATACGAAAAGATTTTGGGAAATAGCAAATATGAATACAGAGCGAACTAGTTAAAATGTCCCTGTTCTAAAACGTTGTTTAAAGCTGGGGAGTCGTCATCTGCGCATGCGGCAGACGGCCATAACGTGTCGTTATTTACAAATAAGTTTCTAAACGTGATCCTTTGCCTTTTAGCCAATCTGATTATCTGATGTAGTGATCTTTAATTATTTTGACTATAAACGTATTTTTATTTTATTTTTTATTACTTTTGGTATTAATGCCTTTTTATTTTTATTCTTTTACTTTGATTTTGATTTATTTTACTTCCGACCTACACACATCTGAGCCTCTGCCTATGTATCGAGATTTCAACGAGACCCACTATCGACGATTTTAGTCAATGAATCACAGACGCACCTGGTGACGTCACCGGGCAGAGTCAGGTCGCAAACACACTCAAATAAAATGACGGATTATACCGTCATTAGCGACGAAAACGTTCGGGAAAACACGTTTTTTCGGTAAGTTTATCATTGTCAAATGCAACTAAAGTCATCTTTTATTTTCATGTTTATATTGTGGCTTGAATGGTTCTGGTTTACTCGTTATTTTGCGTAGTTATTCCGGGAGTGACGATTTTTTCCCACCGTTTCGACCGAACACATCTTTTTCCAGTCGCTTGCCCTGGAGACAGGTGA